TGATGCTTCTTTCTGCGCAACACAAATGGCGTGAGCATGGATTTTGCACGAGCAATTCGCTGTGCAGAGAGTAGAGCTGTATGCGAGTCGTCAACCGTTTTGGCTTTGGCACTAAAAATGTACTCAAGATCTTCCTTTCGTTCTCGAAAGACTGAAGGCAGGATGAATCCAAGTAGTGAAACTAGCTCCTGGAGGTTGTTCTGCAGGGGAGTACCAGTGAGTAACAGTCTGAACTGAGCTGGAATGCGGATAAGTTTTTCGTAGAGCTGGGACTTGCTGCTCTTCAACACATGGCCCTCATCATACACACAAACACAAAAGTCCATGGAACGAAGGAATTGAGCATCTATCTTTGCCTTCGCAATAGTGTACGTCGTAACGACGACGTTGATAGAGTCTCTGGTATCTTCGATTTGTTGGCGAATCTCAGCACGAATGGTTTGGTTGGCGTAATACGGCATGACATTCAATTTTGGGCAAAAGACAGAGAATTCACGAAGCCAATTCTCCAAGGTTGAAGAGGGCACCACCACAAGATGAGGTCCCTTCACCCCTTTCTCGTAGAGATGGGCCAGGAACGCTATGACTTGACATGTTTTGCCCAATCCCATGTCATCTGCAAGAATGCAGCTCAAACTCTGCTCGAAAAGGAGGCTCAGCCAGTTGATTCCCACAATTTGGTAATTTTTCATGGTGATTGATTCACTCATTATTGATGGTTGACAAATAAACTGTTGCTTCTTTCGTGAATAGCTGGGTTTAAGGTCGTCGTCTTCCACACTAGATGAGTGGTGGCTGGACGGAGTACCAATTGCAGAATCATGGATCTTTTCTGGGGTATTTTTGTTATCCAAGGAGACTATGTCAAGCTCGCCTTCTATTTTTGCCCCGAAAATATCCACGCCCCATCGTTTCATCTCGTCTGCAATTGGCTTTCCTAGCGCCTCACATTTAGAGACGAGAGCATCCACAGCTTCATAGCCCGTCCACATGTCAAGACATTTGTCAACAACCTTGTCCCCAATGCGCTTTTTAGAATACCTTTTCGGTTTGTCATTTAAGCTCTTTCCATTCTCGTCTTTGTCGATGATTTGACGAATGGAGTCTAGGGATATGAATGGCCGTTTTGAGAGTATATTATCTGCAATACTCTCCTGGATTTCTGCGATATCAGCTAGATCCACCACAGAACATGTATTGAAAAATTTCAGAACTTTTGTTTCCAAAACACCGCCGTCCTCAGATTCTTCAGGTTTGTCTGATTCAGACGAGTCGATATCGATTGCAGGAGGTTCTGGAGATTCTGACGGTGGTTGAATTTTCTTTCCCCTTATGAGTCTACCAGGTTTCTTGACAGCCGGAGCAGGAGACGGTCTGGATGGAGGAGATGATGAACGTGTTTTCGAGCCCCTTATCAGCCGTCTACGGGGCGCTGAGGAGACTCTTTCAACACCTACCTTCTGGGTTAGGAGTCTCTGGCTCGAAGTCCACTTATCTTGAATTCGGGTTCCTGCTCTGATTTGTTGTTTCGCTTGCTCCACTCGGAGATTATTGGGGTCCAGACTTAAGCTCGTCATCCGAAACCCGATCGGAAGGTATGTTATCATCGTCAAGTCTGGCGATGTGATCTAGAGAATCTTCGTAGTGCCCTCTGTGGGATACAAGAATATCCAGAATAAACCGGATAGATCTGTTTGGAAAGACATTAAATATGCGCTGAACTTTAATTCTGGTCTGGTAATCTTCGATGTCGTCTAGTGTGAACGCATTTTCTTGACGGGGTCTTTTGGGAGATGTCGACCTGTTCACAGCAGCGGAGGACATTCTGTCTACCGATCGTTTTGCGGGCACCTTCCCATTCTGATATGTTGACGGATTGAAAAAAGCGGAGGCAGTAATCTCCTTGAACCTTTTCACAGGGTCATTCTGAGCAGCTGGGGACTCCGGAATGCGCTCTTTGTTCGTGCTCCTGGAGTGC